ATTTAGACGCCTACATTCTTTCTGCCAGTTGTGTATCAAAACAAATTTGCTTGTAAATATGAAATGCAGGTTGGATGTTTGTACAGATATAGAGCTAGTGGTGTTGGAATAATAATCGTTTCTCTCATGACTTTGAACATGAAAACTGCCCATGCTTCCAACATCATACGAGCTTTAAAATTGAAGACCTTTTATAAAGGCATGGTATCTGATCATTTGAGCTGTACATACGGTTGTCTGCGAGAGTGTATTCACAGCCAATATATATATATATATATATATATATATATGTATCAATAGAATTACATTGGGAGGTATATGACTGGTAGGTAAATAAACTACATTTAATCCGAAACGACAGGTGTCAATGTTTTTCAGGTGATGTTCTGATAGATAGTGAGAAGTAAGTACGAGAGATTAAATTGAGATAAAAGTTCATTACACACTTAAATTTCAGTGTGTTTGTCGAAGCAAATACATAGGTCATACGGAAAGGCGATTGTCCACTCACATGGTGAAGCATTTGCCTAAGTGGTTGAAAAGTCCAATAACAGGCATCTCATAGAAGACTGACATGATATTGACGCTGTCAAGTTTTTCACTGTTGTCATCCGAGAAACAAACAGAAAGATACTTGCATTTACAGAGGCTTGTGCAATCAGATTTTATAAGCGAGGTCTCAGTGTACAGAAAGAAAGCGTCGTCACTCTTAATCTATCATGTTAAAATGTTTTACCTTATTAAGTGTTATTATTATTATTAATATTTTTAATCTATCGCATTATTATTCTTGATTTATTTAAAACTATTCTTTGTCAGTACCATTATCTTAACGCGTTATTATTATTATTACTACTACTATCAATACTATACAGTTTGCAATGCTTGATATCTTTAAGTCTTTTCTCTGATAGCTAATTGTTCATTCAAGTGATGTAACTGAACCTTAGTGCATTATTATCTTAATTTTAGTCTCTCCGTTCCTCCTACCTACCTGAACATCACCTGAAAAACATTCACACCTATCGTTTTGCATTGAATGTAGTTTATTTACTTATCAAGTCAAATATCTAATGTTTTCCCTAATGGTATATACATATATACTAACGTTTGTTGCTAGTTTTAAATTCCTACTGGAAAATAAATGTTTTTAATTCTTAGTGCTGTATGTAATAAATATTCTCACAATCATGTTTCGACCTGTAACAATTCACTCACATCATAGAGTAAATGTATTTGATAAAAGCACACAGTAATGCAGTATTGTTTAGTGATAACTTTCCGGGCACAATTTTTCGTCCATAATTGTATCAAGGCCTTGATATGATAACAACCATAACTTTAAGTCTTAATGATTCGATCATCCTAAAAAACAATAATTTTGTCAATATAAATTATTACCTAGTTAAAATATGGACATGTAACGACAGACCCGGAGAAGCTGTCGAGATGAATATTCTTTCTGCACTAATCAGCGTTTGTCACTTGTGTTAACCTATACGAAAACACCTCTATTCCAACTTCAGTATTTAAGTGTATTTTGCAGCAGACGTTATCTCTGTACATGATGAAATAGAATCGCATCATATATTAATGCATAATCATAGTTATCATTGCTTCACACTAGTCAGAATTAATTAGATGAAATACATTTTCTATTTATTTTTGTATAACTATATAGAGAACAGTATTAAAGAAAGTGTGAATTATGTGCCAAAAATTTAATATCTTTCGGAAAGATTAGGTAGAGTTATTTAATATATATATATATATATATATATATATATATATATAACAGTGAAGTACTGACATAATTATAAAAGTTCATCTGTCGTCCGAACACATGGATGCGAGTAAAATGAAATGCAATCTATTAAATAATCTAAGTATTTGTGCGCTAGTATCTGAGCCATATTTATTATGTGCGAGATTTGTAACCAAATGTTAGTAAAAAAAAAACAGCTGGCGAGAAGCCGTTATAATTTGAAGTTGTACTACCGCTATGCGGCTGTTCACTCTACAACTAACTCACTCTGGAAACTGGTGGTAAAGTTTTTAACTTTTATAATGGTTACAAGAATAGGCTTGCAAAGTCAATATAATTTGTTTTTGAAATGAGCAGTATTTACTTCATATTCATTACGAAATAAAAGTCATTAAACTCCTTCTGTAAATCGTTTATTTATTTATTCATTTGTCAGGTGCGCAATACGATGATGGTCGTCCAATTCGCACAGCCATTCGTACTAAACAACCTCCGGGTGGAGCATCAAACGCTTTGTGGTAGAAACCCAACATAATACAACTGGTATTTTTAAAGGATTGAAGAATCATTTGGATAAAAACAACGAAAGTACAACGTACAATCAATACATATATGTTCCAGTTATGTGACATATATCGGGCGCTTTATATATGTATGCTCAGCCCACAATTATATTTAGCTTTGTTTAAAGTGCTCATGTTGTATTTAATGTTTTGTTAACTCGAAAAAATCGGTCGTCAGAATTCCGGTGTTTTCCAAGTTATAATATCATAAAGCTTTCACTTTAGGATTTTGTCTTCTGCCTCTTTTTTCTTCACAGAATCTAATGTTGACTGTGAAACAAGACATGTTTAATGCACAACCGTTTGTAGTTGCACCGGATTTTCCAAAAGTTGTAAACAAATGAAAATTGATTATTTGACAGTAGATGTCTTGAGAAGCGAGTGAAAAGTTGTCATAGGCTTTGCCTATATGTTTAATGACTGACATGAAATAAAATATGAATTTGACATGAACTATTTCTCAAAATGATCGAAACATGACTGTATCCGTTGCAACTAGATCTCTGATAATAAATAATTGTATTCATGAAACTGGTCACTTGTTATTCTTAAGAGTTATGCGTTTTTGGAGTTGTCTGTAAGTATATCATTGTTTACTTTAGTTCTATGAACACAACAGTGATTGAGTATTTGTTAAAGCAATAAAATTGTAGTTTCAGAGTAAGACTTATCCCGTCATAGAATAATTGTATTGGCTTCACGACTGCCCATAAGCTCTCATCTCCTCGAGGTCGCTTCCGGACTCCCAGCTGGTCGTCACCTCTATGTTTACTTGAAGTCCTGTCTTCTCTGCCAACCTTTTGATTCCCGCCTGTAGATCATCTAGTTTGTGGAACGCTAGACATTAATCGTCCGCGAATACCAAGTCTTCTTGTCGCCCCAGTGTATTCCCGTCTTCTCTCTTCCCACGGTCAGATGTATGATCCAGTCCGCCACAATCAGTGATAATAAATCTCCTTGTTTTACTTCTGTCCTGACTTTAAAGGCTTTGCTGCGTTTTCCGTTATAAATCACTATACATGTGGCATTGTTGTATAGCTGTTGGACAAGATTAAGAAGTGATAATAGCTTCGTCGCTTCAGTAGAATGTAATCAGATAACAGACCAGTTTATTTCATGATTTTTAGATACATTTTATTATTCATCGCACCATTTTGCTTACATAACCTCATTTCGTTACTACAGTTGACTAATTTTTTTTAATAATAAGAATGCTTTTTCACATAAATGATGTAAGCGTTACACATGGTGACCTCATTTGTTTGTAATTTACGTTTAAATGTGAAAAGTGTAAATTTCAAATGCTAGAAGCGTGAGCTCTTTGATCGGTATGCTTTTTATGACTATTTTAGAGCCTCGTTAATTGGTAAACTGATACAGGAAATTTTAAGCATTCAATTCAGTCTGTATGATGTATAACATTCATTTTATTTCATACAACCAGTTCCTAATGTGTGTTACAAAACAGTCGGGAATTTTATAGGATTCGGGTAAACTGTAGCAATGATTCAACTGGCTCCTATAACAAGCATGCAGTGGATTTAGTACAAGTTCCAGAACTTCCATTGACAATCAAAAAGTTAAAATAATATGAATGCTAAATATTGACACAGCTTATGTGTTGTAGTGTACCTAAAAAAACTTGGTGTATGAATCCTAGTAGTACAATGTGTATTCTACTAAAATGATTAAGTTTTACGCATTAAATGAACACGTTCCCTTAGTGTTGATAAACTTAAAACGACCTACATAGTAATTGTGCGTTATGTCAGTTAGAAACAGCAAAACATAGATATGTGATAACTGTTTGGCGTATCCATCTTGAATAGTAATTGCGAAATAGTCGCGGGAATGTTTGGCATGTTGTGATTAGTTTAAATTTAAAGTCGAAAAGAACCACTTACAATGGTATTTATTTGCAAGATCTGAAAGAGACTAATGTTATTTTGGAAATTCTAACTAGTGCCTTTACTGCGCAGTTCCAACTTCAATCAATATTGATTAGGCTTTTTTAATTCCTTCGCGTTCCCAGTGGGCTTCGAGCTAGAGGCTTGAAGTTTCTGTAGCAGTGTTTATTTCTACAGGATGGGGTTGCTAGCCTCATCCCCAACCTTTCCTCTTTACCAGCTTTATTACTGGCTTAGAGAGGTAGAGGAGTGCGTCGGCCGGGAATCGAACCCCGGACCATGTGCATGGTCAGCGAGCATCTTAACCGCTGTGCCACCGACGCACATTGATTAGGCCTGCATAACATAAAATCTCTTGGATTCACAAGTTGAATATACCAAGATTATCTTCCATACAGGCAACTGTAACGGTACAGCGAGTTCATCTGAAACTCATAATTGCAGATAACGTACTTTTAGTTTGAATAATGAAACATCAGACATCTATGTTAGTTTATCTGTTTTTCCAAGAGGTTATATTTGAAAATGAAGATCACATGCACATTTATTTGGTGGGTGATCGTTAGTGACTCAAGGTGAAATGAAAATCTTTGTCGTGGAGGGATTCGAACCGACAGTCCCAAAATACCAAGCTGAGCATGCTACCAACTGCAGACGACATCATCCATAATGGAGTTATACTCTACGACGGTACCCAAGTTTTATACTTGTATCAACTTAAAAGCTATTCTTTATCTGTACTATATATCGAAAACAAATGTTGATGCAAATAAAAGTGATATATTAGATTTCACCGTTACACACAATTTAATATGGTCATCAGTATTGCACAATGATAAATAGTTTCAACATTTTTGCATGAATCGAAAGTGACAAAGAGTATTGCGTAATCATTTTTTCATCTTTCAAGCAAAAAATGTCATTGCGTCATAATGGGAAATGCATAGAGAAAAGATGAATAGAAGTTTTTAAAAAATCATCCTATACATAATTTCATCAACTGACTCATCATTAACACAAATCAATATAGTGATGCACTACTTGTGGTTGGTGTGGATGAGATAAGACCAGGTGAATTTTGACTGGACTGTGGTGTATTCATTCGTAAAAATACTTCAACATTGGAAATACCCTTGTAATCAGACTGATTCATATTGTTACACTGTGTAACTTTTATGTCTTTGTCTCCTAAAACCTGTAGACAAAAAGACATACAGATTAATATTAATTCAAGTTACTGTTGCAGAACACAGTGCCATATTAAATAAATTTAACTAATATCACAGACTACTGATGTTGGAAAGCATTTAGAACCCTTCGTCGTAAATGATTTCGTTTATCAGCGTGCACCACGATGACGAGCCACCTAGCTTAGTGACGACATTTCAAACTTGACTGATAGAATTAAGTCTGCATCAACACCAAGGGCTAGGTGCATGGCATTAGTTACTCAGCAGCAACATCTGTGACTGCAGAACTGGGTGACACGGCCTCGAATCTCAGAGGGGATATCAGTTCCATGAAGATTGCAGATACGTCATCCTGACAAGCCCAAAACCAAGGCTTCCTGCCGATTTCTTCTAACCACCTGACATGAATTCGTTTACCATTTGACCGTGTATAACAAACTAAAACGTACTACATACGCATCTTTCTCTACATAGTAAAGAAGACACCTACGTAAAAAAAGTAAGTGATCTCTTTGAGTGTAATGAGTCAGGTAGGTGATCACTGTAGCCTTTAATTGAAATTTAAACCTGAATTAAAATAATTCAATTCACACATTTATTATAAGTATGTTACGAGTATCAGTTGGTTCTGAAATCTTGTCGCTTAATTCAATTTTCATGAACTATTTATCATGATACAAATATTTCATGCAGATTTTATTTAACTAGTTGTTTGAAGCCAGAAATTTTAAGAATTTATAATAATTAGTAAGCTTATGTTACACTTTTTGGACTACTTTCTTTTATTATCCACTAATCAATAAATATTTAAACAATTTCTTAATGTTTCTAGTGTACAGAAAGACTTGATACATGCAAAAACTAAAGCTTTACTACTAATTTGTCCCAGTAGCGTATGAGTACGGCATCAGTTTGCTGAGGCTGGCGTAATTCTGTTAAACGCTTTTTTTTTCAGTCACGCTAAGCTGTGAGTCGATATGTCAGTTTCGCCAACTGACAGTGTCTATTATGTCGTTCTACATAAACTAAACCTCAAGTAATGCTAGTTACGCAGAGAAGACACGTACATTCTTTCACATTTTATCAATTTAAAAGAAATGAATTTATATCCGATTAGAAACGAATTAATCTTAGCATACTTTAGTCAACCCTTATGCCGTATTGGAACCTTGAGGAAAATGTACCAGTCATCTTTCCTGAGAACTTACCAAAGTATCAGCTTATCATAGCATTTATAGGATTATGCCTATAAATGGGCCTAAATAAATAACAGATATTATAACACTATTGAGTTTTACTGAAGCTTATGAATATTCTTTATCCCTACTTCTACATCGGACAGGATATGATAGCAAATATTATTACTATTATCATCATCACCATTATCAGGTAAATGCCTGACCAACTGCTCCTAGAATACAGACCTGATATTTTCAAAGGACAGGGCTCCGCCGATGTTTACTTTTAACAACTACAATGCTTTTCACGTTCACGTACATAGATGTCGTCCGCACAAGGGTTTCAGAAACAACAACTGATTCCCACCGACGGTTTATGGCGAGATTTCATCTATCTGCATCGATCATTGCTTTCAAGTTAGAAATCTCATGTTAATATGAAAATCAACTGCTAGTATAACTACACCTAAGCTTCTTTCTGTTTGCAGAAAACTATTAAAATCCATCTTTTGTTTTATCAGGATTGCAGTCAGTCAGCTGAGAAGACTACAACAAAGAATCAGTAAGTATTATGACCTTCCCCTACTCTTAGGGATCCAATCATCAGCTGAGTAGCAGCACATAAACTACTGTTCGCTGGGAATCAATCGATTAGTCTTCTTTACAATTCTGGAAAAGTGATAAATACAAATACTGGATTTCATCATGAACTGACATTGGTTAGAGAACCATTGGAAAACTTGGGAGTACTGGACAGCTGTTTCGTCCTAGTTTGGGACTCTTCATCAGTACGCACCCACCGGGGTTCGAACCCAGGACTCTCTGGTTACAAGGCGAGCTCGTATACCATTAAGCCACTGGGACCCAATCCAATGGCCCATGAATTCTAAATTCTACAAACCAATACTTAAATACAAATACTGTTTAAGGTTCTTGGTTATGGTAATCACATACAGTCTGTGATGCACGGGAAGAATGATATTCCTACTATGCAATAATTTCGCATTATGATTAGTTACTCTAATTTTACATGACAACTGTTACAGGTCTATTCTGGATGACGTTGAGATATATAATTAAGCTTCAAGTGACACAATCCGAAATTTATCAATATACTATAGATGTTACAACAAACTTACAGATTCGTATGATGTGCCTAGAGAATAGACATCAGGTTGAATCGCGACATTCGAGGCCATAAAATTAAGTGATCCAGGCTGAGCATTTGTATTACGTTCTTCATCTGAATGGTCTAACTGCATGTGATGTACATCCATCACAGCAGCTGAAATTTTAAAAAAAGGTAGTAATAAAATTTACTTTGACTGAATTCTCAATCACGAGGAAAATTTCATACATTTATTCCCCTTAATGAATTTGAACAAAGCAAGAACTACAGTTTTAGCAGAATAAAGTGATACCATCTTTTATTTTGTTGCCTTCTCGTCAGCTGCTTACAGGGCAAAAACATTATTAAATATATCTACAAAAACAATTTTAACATACTTGCACAGAGTTCATTTTAAACAAAAATCAATCGATCCATATATATGCATACAGTAATATATATATACATATATTTATAATACTAAATACTATTCCGAACCATAATAATCATACATAATGGAACCTTTTAAGCATTTCGCATTCAGACGAAAGAGAGATGAAAAATATCCAGTTACCAGGGCAAAGAAAGACTGATAACCGCTTCTTTCTGGACGCATAAATCAGGTTTCAGGTGCTTGATGGAGATGGCTTCAGCAAACTTGAGCTCTTTTGCCTATTGATAATTTTGAACGACTTTTCGACGTCTGCTTAAAGCATTTGTTCCCTTTAGACGTAAGCTTTTTGGTACATGTTCAAAAAATCATAGGTATGCCCTTCTTTCTGTCCTCCCAATGTACCTATTGCTCTTCAATATCTTTTCAAGAAACTCAAATTCTTCCTCTAATTTCTCTATAGAACATATTCTCCTCGCTCTATAGTACAGAGTCTTGACTAGTCCGCGTTTAAAGCTATTTGGACAAAAGCTATTATAATGTAAGTATTGTCCTTTCCATGTAGGCTTTCGATAAATTGATTTCTGAAGACAACCTTCTTCTAGGCGTTCCATGGCGATGTCGAGGAAGTGAAACTTTCCGTCACTTCCATGTTCCATAGTAAACTCAATATTGGTGTGCGCATCACTGAATAATCTGAGCAAGTATGAAGCATGACTTTCAGTGTTGCACACTATAAATGTGCCATCAACATATCGACAGTAGGAATCTGTTTCGTCGATTGCATGCTTCAACTTTGTTCTTTCAAGGTTGGACACGAGGAAAATGATAGACAATTAAGGAAATAAAAATTTCTTTATCGATTATAGCATCTTCTTCAATAGATAAATAATCATATTTAGAATTTAGGGAATAGCAACAGGCAAAAAAAGATTACACAATGATAGGAATAGAATGGATTACAGGAGTTGATTACATATGATTCAGAGGTGATGAAGGTAAAGGAAGTTGTAAATAAATGTGAAGTTAATTGTATCTACTTGAAAAGTATGAAGGAAAAGACAAAGACACAAGAAATATTATCAAGTGTTTGTTTTGCAGCGATTTGATTGGTTGCAGGTCTGATCAAGAGCTGACATTAATTACAAAACCAGAATCAAAAACTTGGACGAAACAGCTTTTCCTGTTCTTATAACTGGTTTTCCAATAGTGTTTCTCTAAATGACGACAGCTCAGAACCAAACTTGCAACAAGGAATATTTTAAAAGCAAGTTCAATGAATTGATTACTAACAAAAGAAATTCCAGTAAGAAGGACATTAAAAAACTAGTGAGATAAGCAGTGCTTTATGTACGCTGAGTTTACACCCAGAATGATGAATGACTTCTGCTTGAACCGTGCACATTCTGGTATTTATCTCTTACAGAAGATAATCATTTAATTTTTCTTTTAAGAGAAACATTTGAAAAAAAAACAACTAGTTGTCCTCGAACTCTTATGCGAGCTTAACTTAACGATAACCACTACTGAACTCCTTCATCATGACTTCGATATGAGTATCCTCATAGTATATAGGAATGTATCATCAATATATCTATTACACAGATGAAAGATATCAACAGAGTCGTAACATGTTATATATGTAGAGTAATTATTGAATTAAAAGATCAAATGAATTCGACAAACTGTGTTCATTGAGATGATTTCTACCTTTTGGGAGGATATCTACGAGCTATTTGAGAGTAAAACGGACACGGTTGAAAATTGGACGCAGGGATATATTTTCCTTATTCCCTTTTCTAGAACCGAATGAACCGGGAAGTGATAGAGCCTGTTGACCACTTCACTTATTTGGAAAGTTGCATTAGCCCCAACGGGTTGATAGCTGACGAAATCTCAGCACAGAAGGCTAGTTTCGCATATGCCAGTTTACGCAGTCCCTGGCGTAGACGTGATATCCGGCTGGCTGTTGACCAAAGGGTGTGTGTACTTCTCAGCAGGCCGCTCCGTCCTCCTTTATGGCTATGAGACTTGGCCATTGAGAGCGGAAGACATGAAAAGATTAACTGTCTTCGATCATAGGTGTCTGCGTTCTATCTCCCGTGTGAAGTGGTATAATAAAGTGAGCAATATTGAGGTTAGGCGTCGAGTGCTAGGTAAGGAGGGGAAATCAATCGGCGAGACTGTAAAGTTACATCGACTGAGATGGTTAGGACATTAGTTACGTATGTCTAGTCATCGCTTTCCTCGACTGGCAATGTTAGCTGACGTAGGATGGATCAGGTTGGAAAAGAGCCACTGGTGGTCAAACCAAAACATGGCATTTGTTAGTTTACGCCAACCACGTAGGAAGGTGTAGACATCCTGGTTGGTGTAAAAACCAGGGGCTGAAGACAATCAGTGATATGGCTCAAAATCGTTTTCAATGACTGGCGCAGATGCATCCACTCTTTATGATTTATCATATTCAATAAAATTATATTGTTCTTCCATATTACTATTCGGTTTGCCTCACATTTCTGTTTATTATGTCTCTCTTTTGAATCTATCTCTCCCCTCTTCTCTTGATTTGTGTGCTACATTGAGTGTGGCAACTCAAACTGCTGCACATCTGTGCAAAGTTCTGCGTTGAATCCAGTCAGTCAGTCAAAACAAATCGGCATTTGAAGGCAATGCTGATCAAATCACCTTCCTCAAAACTCAAGTGCGCATTTACTTTACAAGAAGTTTTCGATTTTTCCTGTAGCTTACTCGTAGGAGTACACTTATATGTCCATTGGCAACATTAATACCCATCTGACATTTAGTTGCATACAACCGATGAATTGTAGCCCACTGCTAGGCATTATCAAGTTGACAATATAATTTTAGAGTAAATAAAAAGGATAAAAATGTTCTTACTAGCAGACAATTATTTTGCTTCCACACAATCTTATCAATATTTATCAAAAACGCATAGTAGTCTATTGTTGAGTAATAAATAATGCATGTCACATAAATGATACAATTATCCGAACTCTGTGCACAGAACAAGTTTGCTTAGTCTCTTATTCTACCATAGTCGTGAACTTTTTCCTACTTGTTCGCTTCTAATTTTAGTAATCAATTCACTGTTATCACTCTTACATGTTCCTTTTGTACATTCCATTAAGTTTCTTTTCCTCACGGTCTTCACACTTTTCAGGTAGACACTTGCTTATCCTGCTTTTCATCGAATAAAGATTTTCACTTTATCACAGTTCAAACCCTAACTTCCACAGTGTTGTTGACTTTTTTCATTCCTTTGCGTTCCCAGTGGAACATAGGGTTTCAGACTAAAGCTCTGAAGCATTTTCCTTTATGGGGTGGCGTTGCTAACCTTGTGGTGAGAGCTGTCTGCTAGCCAAAAGTGGTAGGCAGAAGTTTACGTCCCAAATCTTGGTTATGAGAAAAACGGCCACAAAGACTTTGCGTGGGCGGATACGATTCGCAGATATATGGTTTGACCTACAAAAACGGCCACAAAGAGATGACAGAAGAACTTTCATTGATAAAACAATCAATCAGAAGTCGCTGTTTCTCTGCTAGTAATAACGAATAATAATGTACATAAAAATATATAAATATCTGTTGATTTCCTCAATAAACGATCTGTTGCCTGACCCTTGTCTTCTGTCGTTACAATCTTACGACTAACCTTGTATGTGGTCTGGCGTTAGATTCCCGGCCAGCGTACACCTTTCTACCTCCCTTAGCCGGTTGTAACCGCGGCAAAGAGGGAAGGTTGGGCATGGGGTAAGCCACCCCATCCCTTGAAAAAACATTACGGTTACTTAAACTTCAGAGCTCACGCTCTGAACGCAAAAGGGTATAAAAAGAATGTTGTTAACTAACAACACGTAATTTATTTCTGTATTACAAACCCACTTTTGAGTAATTGTATCAATTACTTTACTCCTCCTCCTTCTACTCAATAATAGATTAATACATGCTTTTGATAAATATAAATACTACTGTACAGACTCTATCGATAACTTCGTTCGTAAAGGAAATTTTCTTCTCAATTCTCGTGCACCTGGTGAACTCAGGCCATGGAGCTCCACCAGAGGCCTCTTTTAAAAATAGTTCAAGTGCTATTTTTAAGACGATATGAAAATACATGACCTATTACTTTTAATCTATTAGAAGAACAAGAACAAGAATAAGATATTTTATTCAGTACTGTAGTGCGAAAAATAAGTGGGAAATCACTAAAAATACATTGATCTGCTAAATCTCTATGTGAGAGAAACAGCGTCTATTGTATAAAATACTCAGTTATTATTATTACTACTATGATTACTTACCAGCCATTGAATCCGTGAATGAAATATCACCACCAATTGACGGAGAACCTGGTGGATAATTACACACTGAGTCAGTAGTTCTAAATTGACTATCCTCTTCCATTTTAAATGAAACGCATTCATCCACTTTTGTATTTAAATTCAATACAGGTGTTTCTACTGTTGTAGTAATATTATCAGCTGGACGACTAGACGTTTCATCTGAGATATTTTGATGATCAAGATTAGATGATGATGATGATGACGGTATAGGTGTATAACGTACACAAATAGTATTCAACAGGGAAGCAAGTGTATCATTACTGCATAACGATGATGAGGATTGATTAGTCTCTGTAGATGTTAATAGTAAATCTTCTATAGTAACATCTGTACTCGAAGAACCTTTAGATTTTGTAACAAATGATTTTACAGGTGACTGATTTGATGTAGATGAAAATGCACCGGATACATTATAAATATGAGGTAGTTTATCGTGCAGAGTTGTTTGATTTATTAACGGCGATGTTAGACTAAATGTTGACGGTAGGAAAATTTGTGATGACTGAGGATTGAAAACAATATTATTTAATGCTACATCAGCGTTAGCTTGTTCTGCATGGTTAATAGGTACCTAGAAGAGAAAAGACAACAAAGTAGGGATAGCTTAATAGGCGGCTTGCTTGAATAACTGGACTATCGAAATTGCTTTCCACCAAAAATGTTTAATTTCACATCTGAGTCTATAATTGTGTTTTAATCGTCCAGTTAAATCAAATAACATTTACATGGAAGTGCGCTCTGATTTAACTTGATTCCAAGTAAACACTGTGGAATTATTCAACGAAATGAAGATATCCTTAAGATTATTACTTTATATGTAAATCGTGTATGGAGAAAAAAGTATTTTGCAACTAAATACTCTGAAAATTTTTGTACCATATACTCGCATATTGTCTGAAATAAAGCTTTATTATTATAAGTAGATAGAAAGTAGACTTGGTAATCTTAGACTTCATAACTGATGGAGTGTTGGCTATGAACTGCTAGACAGTTCCCAATCAAGACGAAATTGATTCACTGTTTCTTTTGTTGACAATGGTGTGACAATGAATGATGTCAATTCGCCGATGCTTAAAAGTGATCTTCTTTTATCAGCCTCAATATTCACTCTTCCTTTTTGGAATTAAAAGATCGATTTATTATAAAATCAGTTATGTATGGGAACATGGTGATCGATACATATTTTAAAAAGACATTCTCCATTAAATTTGCATTCTTAACCAACCTGTTACTTTTACGTATATATTCATGTAAATTTACTAGGAACTCTCAAGTACTCTAGTTTTCCTGTTACACGCAATTAAAAAGAACAAAACACAATTCAAAAGTACAGATACTAACAAAAATTAACATTCAAATGAACTGTCGTCAAGATTTGACAGAATAGTTCTAAAATATTTGGGCGCCAAGTGAGAAGTAGACATTTGTAAAAAATTATATTTGTAAAGTCTCAGTGAGATTGAAATGAGTAATTCCAACGTTTCGTTCGGCAATCTGGTTCGAACTTCTTCAGGGAAATTAATCGAAATTAACATAACATAGGTTTATATATAAAAAGGAACATCACTTGTTTTTAAAAATTTGTCCAATCATGAGTCATTCAAAAAGTATCAACAAGTATAATAAACAAAATTTTATGAGCTGTGATCAAAATTTGACCCCGGACTTACAAATATTGGTCTACCTTTGTTAAACACTTTAAACAGAGTGTGTATGTGTGTGTGGGTAAACAGTTGTAAAACATTTCTTAACGTTTCCATAAGAAGATATGGACAGTTGAGAATTTTGACCAAGTATTAATAATTAGTGATACATATCCATTTTTTATTTATTAATAAGGATTTCCTATGCATCAGCTAACATCACGCCTTCATGTCTGTTCAAACTGTTAGTATCTAGAATTTTATGATTAGACGTATTTTCAAAATTATGGTGTTTAGGAATAGCGTTTAGTAGAAGCACCCTGTCGGACTTATTGCTTTGCCTTCTTTCTGAAGATTGAGCTGCTTTATTCGACCTACTGGAGTTGTCAGGTGACTCGATAGCTACAGATTTAGGATATGCATTCTGTTGCAGACAACGGAGAGTGAAAACACGATGATTGTGCCAGTTACACAGTTCTAAAATATTTGGGCGCCGAGTGAGAAGTAGAAGTTGGAATTACTTATTTGAATCTCGCTGAGACTTTACAAATATAATTTTTTACAAAAAATTAACATTCTAAGAAATAAACATATGACTGCTGGAATATAACAAAAAAACAAAAAACAAACTAGACAGTTCATATTTGGGATCATAATAGTCAATTTCAATTTGAAAAAAAACAATCATTCGAAATAACAAAATGAAATACCTGAAATGTTTGTACTGGGTAGCTGGACGACTGAATTGCAGGAGAATGTGTTACAGTATTATGCAATGGCCAAAAACTGCTTGAAGCTATTGTACTAGCTGGTAGTTGTTTTGATTGTAATTCTTTATCTGAGGCAGAATTTTCATTTAAATGTTTATGCACTTGTGCTGCAGTACTCTTTTTACGACGTGCATTAAATGCTTTCAATGACTTTAAAGATGATGGTGCACATGTAGAAGGTTTCTTATCTTCTACCACTGAATAACTAGAAGTTGATATTGTTGGAGTGGTGGTTGTTACAGTCGTTGGAATTGTTACATTTGTTAAGTTGAACGAGACACTTTTAGACGATGCAGTTGCTTGTTTTCCTAGTAGTGGCATATAAGATGTTTGAGTCGGCGTTATAGATGTTGTCAGTTGTCTTTCATGATCCAGTTGGCGTTCAACGATAGGAACTTGCACCTAGATTAATACAAAGTTATTGAGAAAACAACATTGACAATTTAGTCCATAATAGGAATATGAAATGATGCAGTTAGATGAGAAAAGCAGCACAGTCCAGTTATCCTATTTATGCTTTCATGTACTGGACTATGAAAAAAAATCTTAGCATATAAGGTTTTGTAGTAATATATGTTTATACAGGCTGTAGCAAGTGGAGAGAAGATTAAACACAACACTAAATGATAGCGTTTCTTAGCCAATCTATAACTTTCATGTATATTTTCTCAGGATTTTCAAGTCGTTCCGTGAGAATTCATCAAAAAAAAGACTCCATAATGATGAGTAAATTTACAGGCTTGCTGTTTAGGCATCATAGTTGTAATTATTTAAATAAGACAGGAGATAACAATTAGTGAATACCTAAATGAAATATTGATTATGCTATTGCAGATTTCCATAGAACCGTTTATATTCATCTTATGTATGTACTTTAAATATTAAATCTCATTCTGTGGCGTGTGCTACTGATATGATTTATCAGCAGTATATGAATACACATTCATCGACATAAAAAATATCAAATAGAAGAGAGATGGATGTGACGTCAACAGTTCGCTCCGTCCTTCTCTATGGCTCTGAAACATGGCTAATACGAGTTGAAGACATGAAAAGGTTGACTGTTTCTGATCATAGATGTTTACGATCTCTCTCTCTCACGTTAGTTTGTATAATAAGGTAAGTAATGTTGACGTTAGGCGTAGAGTGTTGGGCAAAGACGGAAAATCAATCGAAGAGGCTATAAAGTTACATAGATTGAGATGGCTAGGTCACGTGCTACGCATGCGTAGCCATCGCCTCCCCCGACGGGCATTACTAGCTGATATAGGTGCAGGTTGGAAAAGGGTAAGTGGTGGCCAAACAAAACATGGCATCAATCCAGGAAATCCTTGACGGTTAAACTGAGTCAGGTAGGGAGATGCAGACTTCCGGGTTGGGGCCCTCGGGACTATAAGAATCAATGGCTGGAGACAATAGGTGACATGGCTCAAAATCGTTGTCAATGGCGCAGATGTATTCAGTCTCTGTAATCTTTCATATTCCTTTCTACCATTACTCATTCCATTTCACTCTTATACTTGTCAAAACTCTATTGATTCTCTTCACTCATTTTCTTGTCTACCTTTGTGTGCTATTTGGAACGTGGCAACTCGAAATGTTGCACTTCGGTGCCAAGTTCTATGTTGAATCCTGGCAGACAGACAGACAATAGATACCAAACTGTAAATAAACATACAAAAAGTACATCAACTGATCACTGTGCTCTAATGATCACTACTATTTGTATTAATTACCTACTATACAAATCACATTTGAAATATAAATTCGATTTTAAAACCTTGTCAATAAATACAAAACTCCATTAATATACGTATCGTTAAAGTCTAACAATAATGAAATCATCTTTATTAACATTAAATTAATAAAAGTGCGTATTTTAACGTAGAATGTTTATACTGGTAACTTTCCATCAGTATTAAACAATCGACAGTTACATTGATTCAGATTCTTTAATGGATGCCTTAATACTGTCTAAATTTTAAATTTGACATTTTCTGATGATAGTAACCAGTGGAATATGCGATTTTCATTTGTAGCAAGCAGTGTGTTGAGTTCAAGTAAGAACGCCAACACTATATCAGATCACCCGAACCAGTTAATGTGAAATGAACATATTAGGCTAACAACTGTCATCAAACAATTCACACGTACATGTTGTTAAACGTTGAGGTGGGGGATAGAGATATTCTAATCTCAAATGATACATATCAAGGTACATTATGTGTACATAGAAGCGTTGCTGGATGATAATGTAACACTCACAGTAATGTACCAACCAAGTGATGTCAAATATCTGACTGCCTATGTGACACAACCCTCACATATACTTCTATTGTGACGTGCAATACTGACAAGATTTATCAGTAGTATATGGACACATACTGATAGGAAGTAACCAAAATTGAAAACAACATTTTAAGACAATGACTACAGACGTAGGAGTGTTTATTCCACGAATCTAGATTTAGCTTACGTTGTAGTCAAGATATAATCCTATTGGACAACTGTCACGAAAATCAACAACCAATCAGAACACTTTATTATCCACTGAACTAGCCGACCTTAAATGTAGCTAAAAATGTATAAACATAGTGTATTTTTCCATATTAGTTTGTTTATTAGATATATCACACAATGAAGAAACAGTATTATTTACTAGATGACGTTTCGAAGAAAATTTATTGCTCATAATCACATCAACTATAATCACACAACTTCGAAACTTCAGTTTTATAGTTTGCTATGTTCTCTCCCTTACGACAAATAGGAGACAACAAAGCAATGTATAAAACTCAAGTTTCGAAGTTGTGTGATTATAAGTGACATGACTACGAGCAATAAATTTTCTTCGAAACGTCATCCAGTAAATAATTCTGTTTCTTCACTGTATGATATATCTAATAAACAAACTAATATGGAATTACTTAATACCACAGTGCCCAAGTTTCACACATATATTAATAGTGTGTTTTTCCTTAATAAAAAAGTCCGTTACTAAGTTTCTTGTCTTCTGCCGTATCAGTATCAGTTAAACTACATACTTTTGCCAGTAGAATTCAATTGTTTTGAAACTAGATCACTAAACTACATACTGATTATTAGTCAGTGACCCACTTGTTTTAATAATACTATATTCTTGAACAGGGATCTATGAACAAAGTGTTGCGCACAAAAATTCAGGTCATATTACATTAACATTATAATTTTTGTGTATCATAAATTATTGCAAACAGATTTCAATCGCATTTATTGATAGAACTTACTTTTTGACCACATGTTTGTGGTAATAAAACTAATTTAGGACTTTGCGTTAAAGTTACTGGTGGTTTAACGGCACTACTTGTTGTTAGTAATGATGAAATGATAGGATGTGAAGCAGCCAGAGATGAATTCAACTGAACTACTGATGGTTGTCCATTGACAAGAACTTGTACAGCATTTGAAGGTGGATACATTGTCAAGGTTGGCTGTTGACTAGTTAAAACGACAGGTGAATCATTTGATATTTGAGATAAGTATGTTCCAGTTGTAGGTGTATTATTACTTGAAGTACTTGGTTGAATTGGTTTTGGTAATAATGCTGAAGGAGTACGTTGTTGTGTAGAACTACTCGTTTCGGGAAGTGACGTTTTATCTTGAGTAGAATGACGAGACTGAAATAACAAATAGCAGTAAGGAAACAGAACAAGAACAGGAGTAATCCCATCGAAAAGATTTCTCAGGTAAAACAACTTTAGATATTTTCATATTATGAAAATATGCACAAAGTTGTGCAGTTTAATACATTTGAATTCCTATCTTAAAATATTAAATTGAAAAAGTCTTGAGGTATTAAATTACAAGTCCTATCCCATATATATGCGTGCAAGTAACACAAAGTGAGGTTCATTCAATACAATAACAAACAGTTATACATCTACTATGAACTATCATCTAGATAAATAAAAAGTGAAGATAAACAAAACAATCTCATATACAAAAAAAATCAATATTTTGAATAAATAAGCAAATCTCAATCAACAACTTACAGACCAATCACGATGAAGTAGGTAATCGCTAGCATTCAAGTGTAAAAGACGTCTTAAACCATTACTAATCCCCTCTCCATCTGGATCTAACGGTGGACAAAGTAATAAATTTGAATAGAATGAATTCAACTGTTGTTTTCGTCCATCTTTGTCTTTCAAACAACAGAATTGATATTCAAAACGTATGCGTTCTGGACAACCAAGAGCTAGATAAATAGTTACCACTTTAATTTCACGAGCCATCTAATTTTGTTATGATGAAAGAAAAAAGTAGAGAAGTAAAAGCAAAACACTAGAAACGTTACAAAATAAAAAAAAATGACAATTATTTATATCACGTTATTGAATGTATATTCGAACAAAGTCAGTAAATGCTTTAATATACATGTCGTCTTAATATATGTGTAAAACTTGGGCACTGTGATAGTAAGTAATTCCCAAACTAGGACGACACAGCTGTCCAGTACTCCCACGTTTTCCAGTGGTTCTCTAACCAATGTCAGCTCGTGATGAAATCCTCCATCCAATCAAACAAAATCCCTACTAAAACCAATACTTGAAAATTCCATATTAGTTTGCTTATTAGATATATCACACAGTGAAGGAACAGTTTTATTTACTGGATGATGTTCCGAACACAATATATTACTCATAATCATGTCACTTATAATCACATAACTTCGAAAATTGAGTTTTATAGTTTTCTTTTCTTTCCTATCTGTCATAGGAATAGTTAAATTTTCCAAATGCCTGAGACAGGTGTTGAATCACTTTAAAAACAAGCTTTGTCGGTTAAAGGATCTTGTCGAGTCAATTGAACAGAACAATTTAGTTAATCTAATACCCTGCCTCCGATGATTGTTAGGTCAAATACATAGGACAAAGTAGTAGAACGGGGTCAGTCAAACTAGCGGAGCACAAAGCCTACCGAAATCTAGATTAGCTGATCCGAATAAGATAAGAAATCTGGAGAATAGTTCAGCTATAGTACTATACCACATATAATTACACACAACCACACAATGGGATGAGATAAGATGACAGTTATAAAATCTAATGTAACAGAGTAGAGGGAGAGATTAGTAATGGAAGCTTTATGCATCAAATCAACTGAAAATACGTGTAATGGGAATGATTCAATATCTTTCCACCCAGACATCTGGAAGATTCTACTACCTCTACGAGGACAAATAGGAAAGAATAAAGAAAACTATAAAACTCAAGTTTCGAAGTCCTGTGATTATAATTGATATGATTATGAACAACAAATTGTGTTTGAAACTCTGTCACCCAGTAAATAATAGTGCTTCTTCACTGTGTGATATATCTAATAAACAAATTTTTATGGAACTATATACAGGTCATCTATTGTTCAATACTTTTATGTACAACAAATAATCAAAAAAAAAACAATTTAAATGTCACAATAAGATTTTGAAATGATGGCGATAATTTATTGCACCGGTGGATATGTTCGGTGTTCTTTTGTATTCTTTGAGCAGAATGATTTTAATCGAAACTTTCAATGTTATACCGGACAACATTTTCGGCGCCAGATGTTGTTCAGAAGGAAAATGAAAGCATCGCAATTAAGTCATCCTACCTGAGAGGACACAAGAAGACACCAAAATTCAATAATAGCACACGTTTAGTTTTATTTAATTGGTGGCGATTAGCAGTGGAATCTAGGATAAGAGTTGTGTTCTATTTAAGACTCATCTCTTCTGGATGTACTTTCATCCTCAGCGAGTGACAGTGTTCCTATTGGGACTAGAGCTCAACGCCCATGGTCTCTAATGTCAAAGCGTATCCTGGACTCCAGTGATTGTCATCATCAGCCAAATAACATTATGCTAATCTTCAGACATTGTCGACGTGTCCGTACTAGGCGTCTACGTGTCAGCAGAGGGTGAGCATTTCGCCTCAATATAATCAGTCAACAGGAAATACAAATTAACTCAGGCACACAGTTTAAAATTGCCATCAGACAAAGTGCTTCATTAGCTTTTCAATTTTGTTATTTTATTGTAGTCATTAAAAATTGGAAACTATCACAAACTAACAATCTTTAGGAATAATACAACTAAATGGTAAACAAACACATACGCCTCAAAGAACGAAATTTACCAAATGCAACTATGAGTAAGCAAGTCAATCATATGAGAGGTAATTTTCACAGAAATTTTAATTCTCACTTTGATTAATTAAAAGTCGTCAAAGGGCACAGGAGCCGGAGGCGGGGGGAGGGGCGCAATTCTTCCTTATGTTAATAAAACAATTCAACTCATCAGTCGGATAATAAAGGCACTTTCAAATACCCATAAAACGTCACTTTTCACAGGGATTGCAATAAGAGAATTAATTTTTTCAACTGTTGTAATTTGTCATAAATATTTTATAGCCAGCATTATTAATACTCACCTCACGTGTTACACCAATTGATAATTTTTTTCCAAGATCGCTCAAGTCCAATTCAGCGATTGAAGATGATGAGTTGATTGATGGATTATTATTGAATTTTGTAGCACATGATGATGATGATGACGCCTGTGGTAGAACACTTGATGAACTTGAAGCAACTAAACCTGAGGATTGTGATGTACTTTGTTTTTCTGAGAGCAATACATAACAACAGATTTTAGTAGTTAATATTAAAATTACACTGAGTGATAAAGTAGGTTACGCGCATATGAATACAAATTTTGAAATAGAGAAGTGAACAATAAAAGGAGGTATTAGTGAACCACTTCGACGTCAGTGGTTCAATGGTGGAATACTCGCCAACCACGTGGAGGTCAGGGTGGGATTCTTACCCGACGCACTGCTAAACCTCACCTAATTTTACTGACTGGCATTAAGTTCGTAAAAGGTAGGAGGTTGAACGTCAGGCTAGTAACACCGCCACAATTGAAACTTGCAAGATTGAAGCCTTAAGTTCCACTCGGAACTCAAAGGAATAAAACAAATGGGTATTATTACGATCTGAGACACACATCTCTGAACCAAATACATTTTACATATTAACAATGTATGTCTTATCAATGAGTTAAGAAAATGTACCCTAGTGGTTAAAAAAATGCTATTTTCAAGCACTCTAATGGGTTTTTATATATCTTAGAGATAAGGCAGAGATGGAAAAAATTTACACAAAAGATAGGTAAACATTTGTTGAATACCTAGTACCTATTGAATTTTCTGTTATTCTTGAGTAACCAAATGCTACCTATTATACGGTTCACAGTTATGTTAATTTAAATAAATCTGTTGTAGTAACTGACTGTAACATGTACACTGTGACATTTATTAGGTAATAAATACATAAAGTCAAGAGTGATCACGAAGTAACTTAAGGGGTGGGGTCTGGACAGCTGCTTTACACTTCTCTAGGATTCATCATCAGTACGCACCCATGACGCCAAACAAAGACTAAAAACAGCCGTCCCATACTTCATGGTTTTTAGTGATACTCAAACCAAAGTCACCTTGTGGTCAGTCGTGAAATCAATCAAAATCACGCCAAACTAAAACTTAGAAAACATGCAGTCAACATTTGGTTTCTGATTGATAGATTTTGTTTTTATTGATTGGAATTTTATCTCAGATGGAATTCTCAGGAAGAGTAGTTTCCGACCGCACAGAGCCATTCCCTTCCTTTAAGAACTCCTCAGCTCAAGAAAGACTCTACATTTGGAGTGAACTACACGATGTCCAAAGTGATGTCTATAATTCGTGGAGTCGACTGTACAGAATGGAAGGACCACTTTACTTATGGACAGCATCTAGGAAATTGACACAAAGTAGGAATGATGAGATACTGTCCTTGAATATTGTGTATTGATACCAACATAACCAAAATACTTGATGGTAGTGCAAGTAGTTTCGTTACAGTTTAACATCAGATGTAAACAATCGAAGAATTAAGAGCACTGTACACCTGTTTGGTCATGGTGTAGGAATTTACAAGTGTGATATTCAGTTCAGTCCAGAATTAAAACTGGTTCACTAACTTTAGAACTTCAGTTTCAGCCAATGGATCCAAAGTTCCAATCTGTTCCACCAAATCAGTCTGCGCAACTGACTGGTATCGTGAAACCTCACGCACTAGATATGGCTCATATCGTGAAATATTAAAAACAAGTTCCCTAGAGTTAATTTTTAAGATCAATAGGCTTTACCATCAAGATGTCAAAGTTCGCGATATACCACGACAATCAACTAAGCTGTTCAGATATCTGATTCGATCATATTTAGCTAGGTGATCTTCAGTATGTGCAATTGAAATCAAACCAATAATCAGCCTTAGATTATTATTATTACAATATAAGTTAGATGGTGAAGTATCCGATCTCAAGGAAACGTTACAAATATAAATTAACAACAGAGCCACTGGAAACACAAAGATACTATTCTTAAGGTAGCAAAATAAGCATAGAGGCGTTATTTAACGCTACAGGTTTTCAAAAGCATTAATACTCTTCTAGGTACCAGTTCATCAATCATATTTGATTAAGACAAACGAAATAAGAAAATTCCGGTACCGTTACTTATATCTCTACTTAATTATCCGTTAATAAATAGTTAGACTTAAACTAACAAATGATTTGTGGAAAAAAATAGAGCGAAATTATTGGTTTGTGTTTTCTATTTTTAACCATTAGCATAACAATAGAATTTAACTGGTGGATGGTGACTAGCAGTGGAATCCAGGATGCACATTTCGTCCCATTTGTGGCTCGTCACTTGATGTACCTGCATTCCTCCCAGTGAGTGATGATGTTCCCACCCAGGCTCGAACCCAGTGCCTATAGTCTCAAACCACAAAGCCTTATCCATTAGACCATTTGGGTCATGAGAGCCACCTCTTGTGTTTGAGCCTCGGTGGGAACATCATCACTCACTGGGGAATGCAGGTACACCAAGTGACGAGTCCCAAATAGGACAAAATGCGCATCCTGGATTCCACTGCTAGTCACCATCCACCAGTTAAATTCTAGTTACATGCCCAGACATCATCAAAGCATCTACACAAGGAGCCGACATGTCAACCTGAGACCGAGCACCTCGATCCAATCAATCGACGGGAAAATCTAAAATTCAATTAAATCATTATCATAACACTTAAAAATGTTTATTTCAGTGATGAAACATAAATCCCTTGATTAGCATTCATATCACTAGTTTGCTTAACTAAAGAAATATATATACATGAACAATGCTGCTATTGTGTCATATATGTGGCAATCTAAAATTCCAATGAGGTGTCTGTGTCAACCACCTTTGTGAAAGTATATTCGTTGAAAATATTGGAGTACACTTTGTGCAGTTAAAAAACAGACTGAAAAGGTCAACAGATTCTAACTAGGTGTTGGATAGAAAAAAAGGCCTTCGACACCGGAAATGATAGTTTGACATGTTTGACTGACTGATACATCAATATAGTTATTATTATTATTTCCTTTAATTCCTAGAGGAACATAGGGCTTCAGCCATGCGTCTCCATTGCGTTCGGTTCTCTGCTGTAGTTTTCACCTGGCTCCAAGTCTGCCCACACGCTTTCAATTCCTCTTCACATGATCTCCTCCAGGTCACCTTTGGACGACCAACTCGTCGCTTCCCTTTCGGGTTCCACTCGAGGGCTTGTCTAGTGATGTCACTTGCTGGTTTCCTCAGAGTGTGTCCAATCCATCTCCATTTCTTCCTGCCTATTTGTTTCACGATCGGTTCCTGGTTGGTTCGCTCCCAGAGATCTTTGTTGCTGATCCTCTCCGGCCATTTGATCTTGAGTATTGAGCGAAGGCATTTGTTAATGAAGGTCTGTAGCTTGTTTGAGCTGCTCTTTGTGACACGCCAAGTCTCTGATCCGTATAGTAGTACTGACTTCACATTGGAGTTGAAATACGGATCTTATTTTTGACGCTGAATGCTGTTGACCTCCACATAGACTTGAGAGAAATGAAAACTTGTCTTGCTTTTCCGATTCTGGCTTTGATATCCTCGTCAGTTCCTCCTGTAGTTGAGACGATGCTTCCCAGGTAGGTGAAAGAAGTTGTTTCCTTCAGGTTCCTCCCGTTTATGCTGATTGTTGTCGGTTGTTGCTGTTGATGTTGGCCAGGAATCTTCATTACCTCTGTTTTGTCTATGTTCACTTGAAGTCCTATCTTTGCTGCTTCTTCTGCCAATTTGTTGCTTTTCACTTGCATATCTTCCAGTTTGTGGGAAATCAGACATATATCATCGGCGAAATCCAAATCCTCCAAGGCTCTTGTGTCGGTCCATTTTATGCCTGTTCCCCCGTTGGTTGCCGTTGTCTGCCGCATTATCCAATCAACTGCAATCAGGAAGATCATTGGTGACAGTAGACAGCCTTGTCTCACTCCCGTCCTCACTTCGAAGGATTCCGTGAGCCTCCCGTTGTGGATTACTTGGCATGCAGCGTTGTCATACAGCTGTTGGATGAGATGTATAATTGTCGGCGGCACCCCGTAGTAGCGAAGTAGTTGCCAAATCACCTCTCGATCGACGCTGTCGAAGGCTTTCTCAAAATCGATGAAGTTGAGATAGAGAGGTGACTGCCATTCCAAACTTTGTTCAATGATAATCCGTAGTGTGGCGATTTGATCAATGCATGACTTGTTCCTCCTGAATCCGGCCTGTTCCGGACGAAGTTTTTCATCTAGGGCTTGTTTAATTCTCTCCAGGATGATGCGACATAGTATCTTGCTTGGAATGGACAGAAGCATAATTCCACGCCAGTTTTTACATTGACTCAAATCTCCTTTCTTTGGCAGTTTGAATAAGTATCCGTTCTTCCAATCCTCGGGTACTTTGCCCTCTTTCCACACCTTCTCTAGTAGTGGCGTCATCAAGTCTGCTGTTGTCTCTGGGTCTATTTTCAAAGCTTCTGCTGGGATTCCATCTGGTCCTGGCGCTTTCCCAGCTTTTAGCATCTTGATGGCATTCAGGACTTCGAATTTCGTCGGAGGGTCGATGTTCATTGGTAGTTCTGCTTCCGTTGTTGGTATTGTTGGACGCGTTGTAGGTGGCGGACGATTTAGAAGTCTTTTGAAGTGTTTAGCCCAGTGCTTCCTCTGTTCCACCTAATATAGTTATTAGCAGAAATGTAAGTTAGTTGAAGTTGCAAGCAACAATAACCGAATAACACAAGAACTGAAAAGTATGCATGGAAGTAGGGACACAGAAATCTGATGAAGTCTAGTGAGAGTGTTGAAAATTTTTATGATGAGAAGGAAATACGCCAGCGTCCTTGTGAACAATTTTGAGCATTGCTGTGAAAAACACCTAAGGTGAAAAATAAAACTGTAGTCTTTCCGTATCTACTGCTTTTAGTGTCCATGAGTAATAGTCAAAAATTAGGACAGAATGAAATCCTGAGCAGTTGACAATTGATTCGATTAGTAACCTTTATAGAGCTGGCCTCCGTTGTCGCGGATTCAATCATTCAAGTTCGTCAACTACGCAAAAATTCAAAGTTAACAAATGATATGAATGAGTCTTGTGATCACTTAACCCCAGATAAGGTGAGTTACAATGTGATGAACTATTCAGAAATAAAAATGTTACCATGCAGTTTGCCAAAAGAATCGATGATGAT